CAGGTCAGTAGCAGCCAGTTTCCTGAGCATGGATGGACACATATGTGAACTGAATCACTGGAAATTTTCCAGCTCAAAAATTGTAGAACTGCATCTGTAATTATGTGGAACATTGTCACAGGTGAACTTTACAAAAACTAAAGTAAAGTCTCACCATCTTGCAGTTTTTCGGACTATCGAAGGTACTTCTGGCCACTCCAGCTTCATCTGCATAGCTGGATAAGCAGCAAATTGCCCTGTAGCAATCTGAGTAGCAATCTGGTAGTCCTGGCAATCTTTTCCCCATTTAAGAGAACCCTAGTAGAGGGAAATACATATTTTTGTATAAAGCATAGTAAGACCATTATATTTCATTTACATTTGAGCTGATCCTTATTTTAAACTTACCAGTACTTTATGAGAACTTGTTACCGAAGCATCAGCACAGAGTTTCCATCTACTTGATCCTGTGATGCTTGAAACAAACATCTGTATCCTCGATCTCGTGGGCTGTGTATCAGTGTACAGAACAAGCTGTAATCCCGTCGGTTGCCCATTTCTGTGGATGGCACGAAGGACTGCAGCCAGAATTGGTGGCTTGCTGTCTCCCAAGAATTTAGGCTTAAGTCAGTAGAGAGGAAATAGAGACCAGAGACATAAACAAAGCATTAAAATTACTATATTAAAACCACAGATAAAAAGTATTTGTAAAGGAAAAGTTTCATTAAAAAAGTCTTTTTATGTTAGTATGGGACAGCATCATAGATCATCAGGTGACCTATATGGTTCCTATATGTGGTAGTTTTGCCACAGTCTGTCAAGGGAGAGCTGTTGCGACCTATGGAAGTAAAACAATAGCAGGGAATCTTTTTGTAAAGTGATTTCAGTGTAACAAAAGGAATAAGGAGTAGGACCCCACCGTATAAAGAACCAATATTCCCCAGCTCGACACTGCTCTCTTGCCAACCTGTAGTTTAGCTAATAGTCTTTTTGAGAAAATTCATTTGACCACCTGTTTAAAACCATGATAATTTGTGTTGACAGAGGGATCTGTTCAGGGCAGTCCAAAGTGTGGTGCTTGCACGAGGACCAGCACATGGCCCCGGTCAAAGTCAGAGCCTTGGGGCTGTGACTGCCCTGCCTGACCTGTGGGGCAGGAGCTCCCACCTGGCCAGGGGAGACCCATGGGTGGGATGAGCTGTGGGGCAGTGGGTCCCCCCTGCACTGCCAGGTCCAAGTGATGGAGACCAACAGAAGGTTCAAGTAAGAGAGGCTTGGCGAGGGCTTAAGGGGAAATAGGGAAGGAGCAAGGCTATGGGTGAGGAATAAGGTGTATGTGTACCTAATGAATAAAAGAGTAGCAGAGTCAAATCCTGAACTTTTACAGAGACCCACACAATAAAAAAAATATACCTGAAACAACCTTCGGATCAAGCAGACAAGCACTTCTAAAGCATTCTCATTTTTACAGTGATTTACTGAATAACACAAATTTCAACGTTTACAGCAATAAATTCCAGTTTGATTTTAAAATGTAGCCTATATTGAGTGAATATTAAAAAACATTCAATGACTATCCAATGTGCTTACCTTTATAGAACAGGAAACAATTCCGTTTCGCTCTGTATATTATCTAATATGCTAAATCACCATATTTTTCCTATTCTATTATAAATGTACAATAACTGGAAATCCAAATTAAATGTTTCTATTTCTTGTAGATTAAGACACTCACCTGAGACATGGCTCCAGAGATGCCTTCATCACTAACTGAAGAGGAGGAGCTGATGCTGCCATTTAGGACTTCCCTTCCTGGGTACTGCAAAAAGAGGATCACCTTGAATCAGGTTGTTTACCATTGGAAGTTGTTTCAGAATTAATGTCTTGTATTTTTATTCTCAGAGAAATAAGCTCTAATTGCAGCAAAGCTAGTGAGAGCAGTTGTAGGCCCTGCTCACAGTATAAACAGTAAATGTACCTGTTCATCTGCTGGCTTGAACCAAAACTGGTAAACGGGTAGATTTGCCTGTGAAGATACATAGTGTGTAAGAAGATCTAGGAGAAGACAAAGAACCAACTTTTGACAAATATATTAAAAAGTTAAGTACAGAGTATGGGAAAAAGGCTAAACAAAATGAATTTTAAAAAAACATTTTAAACGGAAATCCTCTGAAATGTGAAATTTCTGAACTGAAATGCTTTAGAGGACCAGAGAAGTTCAAAAGCGGAGAAGGTTCTGCTAGGTGGTTACCTCGTTCATCCTGCAGCAAAGAGTCACCCTCAACAGTCTGTTTTCTCTCTCTTTGGTCTGTGCTCCATAGGCACTGTTTCCTGATGTACAAAAACGGTCACTACAAATTATGTAAAAAAGTCCAGCCCGGGTGAATTACCTGTTGGTTGTAATGTCCGCTGTCCCCACCGCAATGCCTGTCTCCAGAGTGGTCTTCTCCGCTGCTGCTGCAGATTTTACTGCTAGCAGAGCTGACACTGCTGCTGCTGCTCTTGCTATTGCTGCCACGCTTCTTCCCAGAGTGCCCTATTTCACCTTTCTTGTCTTCCTTTCCAGGCTCTTTGCCATCAGCAAAGGAAGCAGTGAAAGAAGAGGATGAACTGGAGAGGGGGGTTGCACTGGGCTCTGCCCAGAGGTCTGTAACTGCAGTGTTGTCTGTTCTGTGAACCCGTCTCCTACGGTGCCGTGTTTTATTTGCGACCTCCAAAAAACAGTTCAAAGCATAATGAATTTATAGCTTGTTCTGTAACATTTCTCTGTGTGTCAGACAAGCTGCTCACCACAGGCTTCCCAGGACATGCACTTTTCTGGACACATACCCCCTGTAGAAACGGCACTAGAACTCACCTAGACTCATTCCTCCCAGCCCAAATCCTTGCTTTCCCATGCCAGTTTTCCAACCCTTGGCTTCATTTGAAGGAAAATATTTCCCTCTCCGATGCTCAAAGTCTCTTACCTTGAACACGTTTTCAATGCCTAGAATCTCCTTCAGCTTAGCTTTTATATCCTCGTATGGAAATCTCTCGTCCTCTGTCTCAGGCACTGAGCTTGCTACATCAATTATTTTGGAAGCCGCTTCGGATCCTGCCTGAATCTCCAGCTGTATTTTGTCAATATCAGCATCTGCATGAACTAAAGTGAAGATGCTTACATTTCAAGGTTGTGCTGCTTGACCAGCATTCACAGAGATTGACAGAAAAGCTTATTGTCATGACTGTACCTGGCTTCAAAACTATTTTGGCTTCCAGTTCTCCGGCTAATTTGTGCAGAAAGGTATTTCTTAAGAAAGCAAAATTTTGTGACTTTAAGCTGAGACAAGCAGAACACCCCAAACTCTCAAACTTTCCACAGAAGTTGTGTGTGTAAAATCTTCCTCCTGCACTGTGGTGATGTGCCTCTTCTGAACCTTGCTGGTATCCTTTGGATATCACACTAGGAGTACTGCTTTGCTGCATGAAACAAAAATATGACAAGTAATGACATTTTCCACAAAAAAAATTGTCACCAGCTCCTAAAATTTTCCTCCAAGTAACGAAGAGTGATGACAGTCCTGCCTAAGTAAGGCAGCACTGCTTAAAATTAGATAATCAAGCACTGGAAGCAGTGGAGTTTCCTCCAAAGTGTTTTGTGGAAGAGGACAGCTCTCCTGCTTGGCCTTTCCCAGGCAGCGCTTCACAAACGTTCTTCCCAATGAGAACCTGTGGGGCTTTCTGGAGGGGCTATTTCTCCGCATCAGTTTTGTGCTACTAGCCTTCCTGTTGCATGTCAACCTATTCTTCGCACTTCAGCCTCAGAAGCTGAAGAACACATCAGAGAAGGGGCTTCTGCAATCCACTGCATGCATTAGCTCAGGATTTGGAAAGAAGAATGTACATCCTGCCCAAGAGCTATCTTTTCCACATTGCTCTGGCATTGAAAAAAAAGGGATACTTTACAAAGGCTATGAATTTCACATTCCCTCCTCATGACTGCAAAGAAATAGGAAGACATGCTGTCAAAGCAACCCTACCTGCATGAGACAAGGAGAGTGTGCAGACTGTGAATAATCACATCTTGAACCCATTGGGACTTTTGTTAACTTGGCTTGGGATATGCCAGGCAGCTGCTGCAGCTCACAGTTTCTGTCTGTGATCTGGTGAGCTGCTATGTTGGGGGTGCGCAGCCCCTCCGAGGAGCTGTCAGTTCTCTGCCTGTCTGCAATACAGGTGAGAGGCCTCCTTACCTTCCAGCTGCCAGGTCCTGAAGATCTTTCTGATGGACGAACTGGCTGGTCAGAAACACGTGGTACTTCTTCCTTGGGGAGAAGCTGGGATTTCTTTTCGGAATCTACTTCTTCCATATTCCTTGAAATAGCATAAACTTCACTCCTGTGGAGGTGGTAAACGGCACACAAGTAAACATCTCCTGATTGTCTTTGCTTGTGCAAAAAAGACAATACTAAGCTTTATGCAGCACCAAGGAATGGCAGAGCCTATCAAGGAGTTGTAAGTTCATGATATTATAACAAGGAGCTCACAATCAGTAACACATCACAAGCAAAATGCAACAAGCTCTTCTGTACCTCACAGCTGCAAGCTCAACCTCCTGACGGCAGGGAAGGGTTTCGATCTTCACATTTTTCTCTTTCATATTTATCCTGGCATCAAACTTCATTGTAGTGTTGGCACTGAACTCTGCATGAAATTCAAGACCGCTCTGAAAGTATTGTGTATTAATCCCCATCATTGCAATCATATGAGAGTATGCCCTGAAAGAGTGGAAATAAAACCATGCATAATTACATATTTGTATGCACATATTTAACTTTGAAATGCAAAACTGCATTTTCACACACTTCTGTTTATTGTAAAAGTGACTACTGATGGACAAAGAGATGTATTGTAACAAGATTTTTAAAAAGTGCCACTGGAAAAGGTAAAGGGATTTATCCGATGAACAAAGCTAACATGGACCCTCTCACTGCTGTGTCACCGATACAATTGTCTCAGGACAAGCTAACAACAGATTCTTCTATCTTCATATTGTGCCTAGTTTATAAATCATAATCACAGCTATTGCTATTATAGTTATTATTACTGTTGCTTTCGGTTTTGCAAATCCAGAAGCATGTCCATTTTTTCCCCTGAAATCCGCCCAGGTTGTGCCTGCTGGTGATGCAATTTTATGTTGAACTTGTAATAACCTGTTCATATGTAAGCAAATATCTCTTCACTACTTACTGTCTGTAGCCACTGAACAGATAAAAATGTGAGTGTTTTTAGCAGTGGCAGAAGTGTCCTGTGGGATACAGTGCACATTTTGCAATGCTCGCAGCATTGTAAAGCATCAGGTGACTGTGTTGCTCTCTCACAATGTCACTGCTCTCAACTAGCACAGCTGTTCCAAATGTGGGACAAGTAAGATCCCTATATAACAACAGGTGATTACATATCTATTTCAAATATAAATACAAATTCTTCTGTGTACGTGAAAATATGTGTCATTTTTACTTTGGCTTGATGTCAGCATGAATATCCATGTTGGTCTCCAGCAACTGTGAAGGTCTAAAATTGTCAGACAGTTGTGGTGATATCTGTGTTTCCACTGCAAAAGACAGACGGGAATTATATGAACAGAGAAACAATAAATGCTGGAGATAGAAAGTTTTCAATGAGCAGAGTAGTTAATACATTGGCAGAGCTTTTACATTTTGAAATACTTTATGTGATTATTTAAAGATTGCTACTCCAAACCAGAATTTTACAAATATGTCCCAGGTGAAACACGCTAATTATTTCTCAAACCCTGTGGAGGTAGCTGAACGCTAACATTTCCACATTACAAGAGTATTTTTCAAGATCATAGAGGGATTTAATTTCAGGAGAGGGATTGGACCCACAATTATTGTGGGGAAACCGCTCAGTTTGGCATTTCAAGCTCACCGAAGGCCACAGCCTGGCTCAGCGCGACACCACACAGACTGAGCTCCAGTGGCATGCCGACCATCGTGGGGACAATGTGCCTCAACTCGCCCACCATCACCGGCAGGGTCCATCGGCCTGAAATGCCTCGCTGGACCTCTTCCACCACTTTTTTAAGCACCGGCTGCCAGTCTGATGATCCAGTTACACTCTGAAAACAGAGAAATAGGTTAGGTAAGTAAGTAAGAAGAGTCAGAGAAGGGAAATTATTCAGCATTGCAGACAAAAAAGGTCAACAGCCTTATCAGTACCATCACGGTCTCCTGAATGGCATCTTTATCAATGTCAACAAAGGCGATCTCCTGGCCCCATACTTTGACAGAAGCGGACAACAGAGGGTCTTCAGGAGGCAGTTCTTTCCATCCCAGAAGCTGTGGTGTTAAAGAGACACAGGGAGAAAGGGAAGGAGCAGATAATGTCACTCAAAATACAGTAATGTATTAGCGAAGAGTAGATCCCATCTGAAGGATGCTGACCAAAAAACCAACAGGCATCTCACAGGCCTGAACCAATGCCGCCCTTCTTATGTTGCATAACTGACTTCAGTGAGAGTTTCCTCACACCAGGATGAGGTAAGGGCTTGGTAATTTCTGCTGCTGTAGGTAGTGGGTGACACCCAAGGACTCACAGGCAAACAATCTTATTCAATAATAATTTTAAAAGAGAAGAGCAACCACTTACTCTGTTTTAAGACACGCTTTAAAACACATGAATTTTGGCTACCAGCATCATCATCATCTTTTATACTGTACATTAAGGGCTGACACATGTTGAGTGAAGAGGTGGCATTTGTTGACAGTGAAAGTACAGCGTAAGTACATCTTTCTGTGATCAAACAGATGACTTTCTCACTGAAACACCAAAGGGATGGCTTGGTGGGTGGGTGGTGCAACCCTGGTGCTGGTGAGAGCTGTGTATCGCAAACAGCTCAGAAGGGTGCATAGAGACGTACCGTTTTACCGAGTTCCTTCAGTGCCTTGTATGTATCATACTCAGCAAAGGGAATATTCTGCTTCCTGATAAGCTTGGTTAGGCTTTGTGACCGGAGAGCCACCTGTAGGAAACAAAGCCAGGTGTCACAGCCCACGTACACGAGAGCCCAGAAAAACCTTTGTACCTACTATCACTCTCACCGAGGCCACTCTAAATACATACTTCATGAAGCCATTGCACTTATAAGGCCATGTCTACCTGGCAGCTGACTGCCGGCTATGGCTGCAGATGCTGAGAACGGTCTGAGCCAGCTTTGAATTAGTCAATAGGGATAATTTTTGGGCAGTTCAGAGCTCAGCCCAGGCTGCAAAGCTTGCCCAAGAAGCTGAGTAAATGCCTGTGTGCTGTTACGTGGACCTTCATGCTGCACTACTGGCTGAAATTTAATTTTGGATGTTATTTTCTTGTGCTTACGCAAAATACCCTCAATGCCGTGTGACTTTAGGTAGGCAGATTAATGTTCTGCTGCAGAATCTTTCCTCTGCTGTCCTAGATTTTCATGCCTATACTGAATACGTTCATTGATTGCTGTATGTGTCAAGAAACCCAAATAAAAGAAGAAGCCTAAGTAAAATCATAATGATTACCTACATTTTCTCTTCCACATCCACCCTTACAGCTAGAGATGGAGTTAAACGCTACATCACAGTCCAAATGGCTTAACAAGTAATACTGTCTGTAGCTGGCTATTTCATTGAACTACTTACCTCGATAATATCTGTTGCAGTATTTGCATAATATCCTCTTACTTTTGTGATTATATCAGATGGAAACATGGTGCTGGGACTGTTCATTAGATAGACCCTCCAAATGGCACCAGCCTGATATTCAGCTATCACAGGAATAAAAAGCAGCAGAAATTTTGGTTAGGGCCTCTGAAGTGTCTGGTACATGTAAACTACCTTAGGCACGTGCTATAGTAGATCACAAGGGGTTCTGCCGGGATTCAGTCCCACACGTCCTCAAGTTTGCAACCTCAAGAGAACTTTGTACTAAGGCAGAGTCAACACAACCACAGTAACTGAAGAAGGAGGCCTAAATCTACGTGCAGGCACTGCTTTCTGCGACTGATACCCAGAGAGCAGTAGGACATCCTTGAGGGATTTTGCACGTTAGAAGGCTCTTGTGCTTTTTCTATTTCAAAAGCACATTAAACTCACAGTCAATTATAGGATTTTGCATAAAAATCACAGAGCACAATAGAGGCATTTGGCTGAATAAGCTGAAGCAGTGGACAGGGCACCTGGTACTCACAGGAATAACCACCGACATGGACGACCTTGCTGTAACGATAGCTCAGCCTGTCAAGTCTGGGGCTCAGAAGTTTAATGGCAATGTTGCAAGCAGCAGATCTAAGTAATAAAGAGTTGAAGGTAGTCAACTGTGACCAAATTCTTAGAAAACTGCAAGAAAAACATAATTTGCAACTAAAAAATGTACTTTGTCCTCTACTTACAGTTTATAGAGTTGTGGGATCCTGCCTACTGCCAAAGCCTTCATGTGTGAGTATGTGAAACTGGCTACTTGTAAGCTGGGCTCCGTCAGCAGCGAGCTGGCCATAGCTGTTACAGTTGGAAGAGCAGGCTTAGTTTCGAAGAGGACAACGCAAGCTACCATTCGGACGTTAGGAACAAGTGTGTTGTCCATAAAGACCTGGAGAGAGATCTCCCTTACCTAGAGGAGAAAGATACAACCTGCGAGTACCTCATAACATCTCAGTGGGTCCTAAACCATGCATGTGTGATCTGCAGTGAATGGCGAACAAAACCCTAAACAGAGACTTGAGCATGGGGCCTGTCACTGAAAGTGAAGATACTGCTGAGTGTGCAGTGAAGAGGGCTGGAAGAAACAGCCATTAGCAATGGGCCCAGTGACTGCTGGGCCATGACTAAAGCAGCCCTTTTCCCAGGACATCCACAAAGACAAGGTGATGTCAGGAATTTGCAGTATGGAAATACTACTGTTCTTAGTAACTGGGTAATCTACCCAGAGCTGTGAACATTACCTGATGGCTTTATTATCCCTGCATCGCTAAATCAACCGAAATCATACCCACTTAAGACATTTGTTTAAATAATAATTTCAGTTACTTTTGCAGGGTCTTTTCTGGCGATTTTCCTCAAGGCCAACACGGCAGCAGCATGAATTCTGCTCGGCAATGAAGCTGCAGCAGGTGAAAATGTTGGCAAAAACTTCAGCATGCGTTTGAGGCTGGCCGGCTCTCCTGCATTGCCTATGGCTTTCAGGGCCAAGGCCATGTCTTTGGCGCTGCCTTTGCTGGTGGCTTCAGTAGCAAGGTCATGGAGTGGCTGAAAACATAGCAGTCTGTATTAATCTTATCAGGTGACAAACTTGTAATAATGCATAAAAATATGCATTACCACAGCAAACAAAACAACTACTAGTGCAAAGCCCTGAGTAAAGATGTTCAGATTTTAATCCCAGGAAAAAATCTCACCATCTTTGTCAGGATGCCAAACGTGGAACATAAAAGGAAACTTGATTTTCTCCTTACACAGTGTTGTAACTGATTTTAAATTGTGCCTGAGCGTAGTAGGTACTCCTAGGTGGATGTCTGCGCAAGGGGTCTGTTGCAAGTTTAGGAGCAGCCCAAGCTGATGCCAGGTTCAGTCGTTCCCCGGGGCACCTCCGTCAGCTCTGCCAACCTGCAGCCACCGAGGTCTCTGCTGCCAAAGGAGCACTTGTCTATTTTTCACCTCCTATAGCAATAGCAAGTTCACTTAAACCGTTTTCATGTTCCGAGACAACAAATTATCCTCCTGGTGGCTTGGCTTTGTTTCATTCTTTTTTGGAAGATCTAAACACTTGTCAAACACCAGCAGGTTGTTTCAGTGCTGTAGGTCTTCTGAGTAAGGAGCCAGAGATGCACTGAGGACAACGTCCTGAATATTTGTCACAGTGATATGTAATTATGCAGCAGGGCCTCTTTGGAAGCCCTAATCTATGACATATCAGGAACTCTGCTTATATTCACACTTCAGTGCCGTTTTTATACACGCTCTTTTTAGTATGCTCTATGTCATGCAGAAGTAAAGAGAAGAGACATAATTACTTTGTTTTAAACCTAAATTTGTCATACCTGAACTGAGTTTCAGGTTGTTTACAGGATCCGTTGTCCCCATGGGCTTCTACCACTTAGAATTGAAATTCTGAACTGTTAAGACCAGATTTTTCAAAGGCATCAGCTTGGTGTTTCATGCTGTCTTTGCAATTTTGCAGGCAAACACAGCTAAGAGTGAAGCACGTAAACAGCTAATTACCTAACTGTCAGCAATGTGAGAGTTAAATTAGAGATATTTAAAAAATGTCTTCACCTCTTATGAAACAAGAAATGAGAATCACCTACCTGAAGAAGTTCATCTGGACAAAGTGAAGACTGAGCACAGTATTTATTTACGATGCTACCATATCCCAGGTAAACAAGTGTTCGAAGTATTGGTGCTTTCTGGATTTGAGGACAGGTCAGAAAAGTCTGCAGCAGAAAGAAATAACAGTCATTAATGTTGCTAGTAATTATCTCTAGTATTTAGTGAAAATTACATTTGAGAAATAATTAGACAAAATTGCTTTGGATTTTTCCTAAATGTTTTCAGAAGTTAAATGCTAGTCATTCAGCTACAATAAAAGTAAATCAACGTGCTCCAGTTATACTATATGTACTTAAGATTTTAATTACGTTACTATTTTTTTATTTTAACTATTTAAAAAAAATATTTTGGCAAAAAGAAATCAGTAGCAATTTTCCTAGAATCTGTGAGTTTAAACATCAGATATCAAAAACATTAAAAAATTTTGGCAACAAGCGTTTGGAAACATTTTTCAGAAGAATTTTCTAAAGCATTCCCCATTTTTGCTAATACCTTGCATTTTACAAATTCAGAGGTAAATACGTTGTACCTTTCACTTGCAATCCTGTGAATTCACCTTTAAAGAGGAGCAAGAGGGAAATGGAACAATCTTTACTCACTGAGGCAACGTCTAGGGTTTGCTTGTTGGGTGTAACGAAATGGAAGGCGAGCGGGAGAGTTGCAGCTGCTTCCCAGATGTTTAGCTGCTCATCATGAACTTTTTGCTTCAGGAATCTGAATGTGTCGGTAGCTCCAGCAGCGCAGACGGCACTCAGGAACCAGCGCCTGCCAGGGAGATCAGGATTCATTATCCCCATTGCCCAGGATGCCTCTGATCAGAAATCCTGGCTGAAGGCAACACAGTTACCTGTAGGGAAGGCCATTGGCCAACTGCATCCACAAAGAGTTGATTTGATCAAGGGTCACTATACGGAAAAGCTGGACCATTTGTAAGAACTTGACTGAAGCTTCTTTAGTGGCTCCTTCCTCATTATTCTGAACTAATTGTCGCAGTGTTTCTGTTAACTACGGGAAAAAAACAGACAGTTGGAAGGATCCATTATGTGATGACCTGTTAACCTTGTAAATAATGGAAAAGTATGAAAAGTAAGCCTCTAATACCTGTAAATCAGGATTGGTAATCCTTACTAGAGGAATTGGCATCTGGAGTAGCTCTCCTGCAAACTGATAACGAAGACTTCCCTGGTTTTGCAGCGGAGTTTTTGGTGCACTGATAGGAGTCCTTTTAATGTCAACCAGAGACAGTTCTTGTCTTCAAGGAAAAGAAGGAAATGCATCAGTAGCCTTTAACCACATTGTGTGGGTGGAAGACATGTACAGTGGCTGGAGCAGACTGAGAGGTGCCCAGCGGGACCATTGCATTGACCACAAATGGATTATGCACTTCTCTGTGTATGTATTGCTTAGGATTACCTGGAAATGTCATAGGACTGGCAAGAGCTTTCATTAGAGTTTGCCAAAATCTCTCAGAGGTTGGACAAAAGTTTCGGATGGCCCCAGACAGCAGGGCACAGGACCTGGAGGAATCCGTGGTGCCTTGACCCTTGGCAGCCTACAGGCCAGATTCTTCTTGTTAACTCACAAATCAACAGTAAATACGTTTTCAACATCTCCTCCTGGCTCTGATAATCACAGCCAGGCTAAGGACATGCACGGTGCCTACCTTGCCTCCATGACTGCTACCCCCTTGGGTTCATTGAAGGGAGAGATCAGGTACACCTGCTCGGATGCAGCAGATGTCACCAAGGCCCCGCTGTCATAATACTTCATCTTGTAAGTGTACATCGCTGTGCCCTTAATGTTTCTGGCTTTCTAGAAGTGCAAAGAGACCCACTTAGAAATACAAATGGGTAGCAGTTAACTGACACAAACAAGCCAAGCTCCCTACGAGCATCAGTGCGATGCCCGAGTGTGGCAGTAGGGCTCCTTACTGCTCGTACCAGGGGGCAGGTGGGGCAGGGGCGGATGTACGCTATTCCTATGTTCTTCACCACTTTATCCTGGCAGTCCATCAGGTCCTTGCTTTTGGAAATGATGGCACGGTTATTCTTTCTGTCATCCTGGATAACGTATCTGGTTTGGCAGATGCCTTCAATCCCAGCCTGTGAGTATTGATTAAACACAGTGAACTTTCCACTTAAAACAGCAATACATAGGTCAAAGAAAAGTGTCTGGGAAATGTATATACAGGCAAGTTACTAAAATGAGAGTAAAATTGGAATGGAAAAAACAAACCTCCTGTAGTTCATAAACATTTTGTGTCTTTTTGATGGTTATCTGCAGCACATTCAGTATCCCTCTCACTAGGTTAATGCAAAGGATGGGACAGTCCTCAGGGGCAAAAATACTTCCAACCCTTCCCTCAGTGTATTCAAATTTAAAGGCTTGGCTGAAGCATGCAGCAATGGTGTCTGTGAGCCTCGAAGATGGTGTGAAGTGGTCTGTGGGCCAGAAGCCATTGTATTCCTCCATCATTGGTGATCGAATCTGTGAACAAAATTAGGAAAACAAAATTCACCATCAGTTTGAAATAGTGCAATAAAAGGGAAACTGGGCTCTTTCAATCCGTGGCCAAACACAGACCACTTGTCCAACACTGCAGAAACGTTTTCCTCCTCAGACTCCTGTGCTGGGCCTAGGAAGTGTCTTTGAAAATGCGATTTCCATGAAGGATTTCTGCCAGAAAAATAAGATTGTGCAAGCAGCATTCAAAACTTCATCACGTCTGGTGAAGCTTGCTGGGTGAGTGAAATACCAGCTGCCAGCAATCTGAACAGAAAGGACACTCACTCGTTTTCCCCAGATGTCCAGTGAGACGTGCCTTCAATCTTCAAGGCAAGCAAGCCATTGCTCAAGCTGCCTGTCTAAACACATGGGGACTATTGTGGCTGCTGTTTCTGATCCAGCCCGTCCCAGAGCACCTAAACCGCAGCACAGCTGATGGGGAAGCAGAGGTGACTGCAGGACCTCGCACAGGAGATGGCCCAGCAGGAGCTGACGTCTCTTTCTTTGGAAGTGGCTGTCATCATATTGTGCTTATCAAACTGCAAAGCTTGCACACAAGTCCTTGACTGCTACCTAGTGGGAAATCTGTGCCTGCGTGCACACACATATCTAGTCGCACACACATACACACAGCTCTCTCACCCTCATACATAAAATTACATGATCCCGCATGGAGGGAAATTGTGTGATTTTAGTGCCGTATTTCATTTCTGGCATTTATAATTAATGCTGCAAGGATGACTTGCCTCTTTTCACATTTTCTCAAAATAAATCCTACTCAAGACTATTGTCAGCAATTGCTAAAAAGTTACAGCAACTCTAGCAAGGTTACACAGAGCCTGTAAATGTAGCAGTGTGCAAAGTCTGATAATAGATACTCAACTTCACGTTGATTCAGTAATAAATGCACAGGATTACAGGTTGAATAAACTCCTAGAATGAGCACTAAGTGCCTTCTTACAGTTCTCTCCCCACATGGTGTCTTCTAGATCCGTTTTCTGTGATCTTTCATTCCATGTCAGTATTTTAAGCTGTTTGGTTTAATCTTTTCAATGAGTAACAGCACTACCAGATCTGTCATCATTATGCCAAGCAGAAACATTACCATTAGAATTCTTCACATTTGAATTAATGCCTGTGTGAAGAATATCAAAAGGAAGATAATGGAGACAGATGGTACTTTCTCATGTGACAGCTTAATTCCAGTGTCAAGCTTTTCTCAGCCTATAGACCAGGTTGAAAAACATGGACATTTCATGCTTGAATTCTCATTTTCATACTCAAGCTTAGTATTGCCTTAGTAAAACGATCTTAAGGACATTTCTTTAAAGTAGCTGCCTGTCATAGTTCCACATGGAGATGATCCTAAGGCAGCTTTAGTCAAGGGGGTTCAGGTACCGATGGCAGCAGAACTGGAGCAGCTCTGGCTCCATCCTTCAGTGCAGACTGCGATGAAGGCTGTGGTGCTGTCTGTAGGTCACTAACCGTAACCCAAAGCAGTTTGGCTACAGCTGCAGACACTCCAGCGGTGCCTCAGCTATCCCACAGCACAGCTTGAGGGTATGGGGTGCAAAGCTCAGTGCCCGTGCCCACATCTCTGCCCGCGCCGAGAAAATCATCACTGCCCGAACAAAGCCACTTGGTCTGATACTGGGCTTCCGAGGTCATCTTCACATCAGGAAGGGCCCTAAGCTTTCGTGTGAGCTCTGCATCTTTTTGTCATTGTTTTCACCACCCTGGAGGTATGAACTGAACATCTGCAGTTGTGTGATGTGGCAAGTGGGTGGGTTCCCACAGCCATGATGATTTACCTGGAGAAGGTGGTCACTGCGAGAGACACAGCTGATCTCCAGCTTGCAGGTTAGCCTCACCCCTGCCATCGCTAGGCCTCTGCTGGGCAACCAGTGCTGGATAACGCCTTCGTAGCCATACTGGTAGGTCTTGCCAATATGAAAAACAGGCTCTATTTAAAAAAAAACAAACAAAAAAAACAAAAAAAAAACAACAAAAAAACCACAAAAAAACAGAAACATCTCCTTCGCTGTGACTGTTGGGATGTTACTTGCAAGAACTATCCTAGCAAAAAAAGCTAAAACTGCTAATGCCAAAAAATCAGTGCAAAGAGTTGGCAAGGCACGGCCATAGGAAAGGGCAGCATGGATGGCAGCACACTTACCGAGGTCCTGCTTCTGGGCCCCTGTGTGGGAGGAAAGAGAAGGATACATGAGAAATGCCCCCATCTCTGTGGATCCTTTCATTTATTACAGATTTACTCAGTGTGCTAATGGTTGGCAAGCAACCAGTAATGGGCTCCCAGGGTGCACCCCACGCCCTTGAGACACCAAGCCCATGTCAACCCCCTTGCTAGCTGCTGCTTGCTTGGCTTTTCCCCTGCTGCTAAGATCAGGCATAGAAATCTAATAACTTAAAGCCAAAGTAATAAGGAGGCTTCAGCAAATTAAACTGTAACTATCCCTGAAAGGCCCCAAGGAGATGCAGTTTGCTCAGGACCACAGTGGCCATCACAACTCAGCAATGATAGTAAAGTTTCAACTTACCCACGAGGGCGAGTACCAGGGCCAGGATGAATCCCTTCATGCTAAAAGTGATTGAAGACTGCAGGGGAAAATTCGTGGCTTTTATAGAAGAATTATTAACAGGCACAGTGAATTTTGTTGAGTTATTAACTTTTTATCAATCACTCAAACCCTATGAGGGAGAGGGGAAGGTCGAGGACAAGGCACCAGCTGTTATTGCTGAGCCAAAACCATCACAAACACTTTTGTTCTCATTTCACCAACTGAATATACTGGAAATATCTTTTGAAAAAAGTGCTTAGAAGTATTAAAACATAGCTAAAGCCAAAATATTTATTATGTAAGAGAAGATACAAATTATCCTTATTCTCTGGAAGCAGCCAGTACTATTGCAGCCTTGTGCCGATTTTGCCCAGGTTATCCTGACCTGGCCATCAGGCACACAGCTTATCTAACTGATAGTGCCCCAGCAGGATTGTGCAAAATCCTAGGGCAGCCCTCCTGTGACACCGCAATGATTCCTGCCCTGCTGCAAGAGGACAAGCTGTCACCCACAGGGGTGGGGACTTCAGCCAGAGACACAAACCTCCCCTCATTGTCACAAAGGTCATGGCTAAACTCGGCTGATGTTCATGCTTCCCTCATCTGCCTTTTCTCACGGGGCTAACGCATCAGCTCCTTTCACCCATGCAAAGAGCCATGGGAGGGTGCTGGTGAGGGCTGCCCCCGCTAGGTGGAACAGGTGAGGCTGACGGGCCTTACAGACGCAAGCCTCCGTTTACAGAGGAGTAAAATGCGCGGTTCAACCAAACTCATTTCACGTCACGCAACAAGGGTCATCATCTTCACCCCACAACAGAACCCCCTTCTCCTGTCGGCCAGCATTTTCCCTGTCCCTTTGGAGGCAGCCCCACAGGCCCCTGAGGCTGCTCTTAGCTTCAGGCCTTGGCCTGGTCTCTGGGTCCCTCAGCTCCCCACAGCACCGACACCGCTCCAGTCAGGAACGTGCATGGAGAGGGTTACAGCAGCCCCGGGACAGAGAGGTTCACATTGGCACCACACAGCCACCATTTGCCCACCAACCTTCTCCTCGGTGCGTGGAGAACTGACACTTCTGCCCAGCTTTCTGTGGGAAGGGACTGGATTCAGCTTCTCATCAACAGATCAGTGGCTCCTATCCACGACAGCTGAGTTTTCATAATGCTCTGCAGCTGATTTTTTTTTTTTTTTTTTTTAATAATCAGCAGTTGGGATATAATTTATAATGTCTGACAAGCTCTGGATTTTGTTCCTAGACTGCACCTCTAGGGTAAAAAACAAAACATTTTTGAAGCATGGCAAATACTTCACCGTGTTTTTGCTGGCACTATATTCTGGTCCCATTTGCTTTAACCCCTTTACCTTGTAAAACTAATAGCACATGATAGAAAAGCCAAGCCATTCACTAATCAATTGTGTCACGTCTTTGGACATTTGATAAATGTAGCTACAGGATTTGAGTACACAGCTACTGATGACCGGTAATTTAGGCTCAAAAGCCAATGTATTATGGCATAACTATACGCAGATGCACAGGTTGGCTTGTTTTTTAAAAACACCTTGCAGTCAGCAAGGACTCTGGGTCAGTGGCAGTGCAAGCAGAAGAGCACTGCCGTGATGGCAGATTAAATGCAACAATACTTGTATTAAGTGTCTCAAAATAGTAACACTACATTGCTGAAACACCACACTGTAACAGTGACACCATGACCTGTTACATTCCTCAAAATAAGGGTCCTCATCCTGGGAGCTGTGTGGGCTGTGCCTAGCTGCAAGGGCAGGGTCTCCTCTAAATCCCCAGCCTGGGGCTCACAGAATCCTGCCCACATCCCACACCCTGCTTTGGTCAGCAAACGCTGCCTCCCTGGGCACTCTGGCCATGCTGCTGCACAGGATGGGATCACCTGTGCCTCTGTTCCAGGTGTGGGCAAAACCTGTTAGTGAGGGCTTCAACTTTGGGGGTTTCCTTATAGAACCGAACCTTCTTATTTTCTAGATAATTTCTTCAGTACATCAAGAGCAATTTAAGCTCCCAGCCTGTTCCCCTGTACACTCACAGTGCTCTCACACTTCATATTTCTCTGAAGGATAAAACCTGAATTAAAAAGAGAAAGGGAAAAAAATCCTAAGAAAACTGTGAAAGTGACAGACACCTTTGCTGTGCCCAGGACCTGCCCTGGATAGCATTTCCTTCCAGCTGTGTTCAACTCTCTCTGCAATGGCAGTGGGGGAGATGGGCAGAGGCTGGCTGAGGCCTCCCTGCAGCCCTGTCCAAGGTATGCACCCACAGCCCGCATCCCCCTGCAGTCCCACAGGTGCTCCAGCAGCCGTGGTGGTTGGGTCATGCTCACCCAAGGGTCTCCATGGGTCATGCAAAGGCCCAGCTGCTGCTGGATTCAGCCTCAGGGGTTACCTGGGAAGTCTGTGCTTCCCGTCACTGCTCTGTGTGACTTCCAGACAAGCAGCAAACCCACCAGCTCATGGCTTTAATGCTGCTGGATAGTGCCCAAACACTGCCTGCTGTCAGCTTCCCATCACTTTGCAGCACAAGGTACCATGACAGCATTTAAACTGTGTATAACTGTGTATTTATGCCTGTCTTTCAAACATAATCCATTTGTTACTGAGGACATTAATTTCCCAAACTTTAAAACTCACATACGTGCATGCATTGAAGATACCAAAGCTGCTGGGGAAAGCAAAATGACAATTTTTACAGAATATTCTCGAGTGTTTTCAAAAACTAGCCAGTGATTACTCCTCCACCCTACGTGGTCATAGGTAAGCGTCATTTTTCTTCACTGGTTTCTACTGATTTTAAGAACCAAATAACTTGCTTCTCTTTAATTTACCAAAGATCTACATTTTAAACAAATCAGTAGGATCACATTCTGCTTTGCATTAACACACTTAAATACAAAATAAATGAATGTGTGTTCAGTCAGTAATAAAAATGGCTGGTTATGTGTGTATTAATTGGGAGAACACTGATGAATTAAGGCAGATCAACTTGAGGTACAATACCATTTCTACTGAAATTTGTGCAAAACTCCTGACAACTTATGCTGTCAGCAATCCCATGAATGTCAATGGTTATGTCTACACCATCTCCTAAAGCAATTCTCTGAAAAACAAATTCACCCAGCATGCAAGCACAGCCTTAGAGGAAACAGGAAACATCTTCCAGATCTGCTGGAATCCTTTGGGCTCCAGCACTCACACAGCAGACAAGAACATCCCTCACTGCGCCCACGCAGACATCACCACCCCCTGCAGTGGGTGGGCAAGAGGCAGAGCCCACCTGCTGATGGTGGCCGCAGCAAGGGTTCACGCTGGGCACAGAGGCTGGGCATCTCACCCAAAGTGCAGGGGTCTGGCTCTGCTTTGGACCCTTTCGCAGGTGGTGTATTTGGGTAACGCTACCATGTCCTGTTCAAAGATCCCCGATTCATGCTAGCTTCTTCATGCGATGCATCAGGAACATAACACGTTCTTGACTCCCTCAGAGCAGCCTTATCCATGGAATGAGAGCCAGGCTTATTCCCTAATCTTGCCGTTTCCTACGGCAGCACCGGAACACCACATAGCTGCTGCAGAACGCTGCAGAGCTGCCTTGCTGCTGCAGAGCATGCCGCATCACACAGAGGTGATCAGCTCCTGTTCTGGGTGCACAGGATCTCAGCACCAGAGAAGAAATCACCAGGGGAAACAAGCAGGAGCCTGGTACCACAACTACCCAACCCATATTCCCTATGGGGCCTGGCATGGACACGTGCCTGGTGCACAGAAGACAGTCACAGACTCAAAAAGTTTACAATATGGGGGGTGAGTAGAAGCCACATAGATGTCCTCTTCCCATAACCAGTGAAATACAGACGCTTTCATAATTTTTTCCATGCACGGATTTAATATGAAATCAAATATATTTATGGGCGATCATAACAGTTATTACAATAATAAAGTTTAATACTTTAAATTAGGTGGGAAGATTTCACACATCCTCAAACACTTAATTTGGTATCTCTGTTATTCCTTAGGATGAGTTTTCTTACACCACACAATAAAAACATTAAAGTGTTTCTGTTTTCCTGTGCTGCAATGTACAGCTTCACGCACTGCAGTCTTCGTTTTCACAAGAACATGCTATGTGTGCATCAACAGTGTCCTGCATATCCTCTGACTTCTGGTCAAACTTTGTCTGTTTGTCTGTCAGGCTGGTAGCTGAATCTGATGGGGAACAAGAAATAGGAAGTAAACAGTATACTCCAGAAGCAGTTTTGCAAGGTACAGCATTTACCATACACCAGTCATTAATTCCAGACAGCTTGGCTCCTCCTCACTGGCTTACATTTTTATATTTGTCTAAGTCACACAGAGATGTTACAGGAAACCCACTTAATAAGCCAGTTCTACCTTGAAAACTACTACTTCCACATAGAACTATATTAATAATACATTTAGGAAAGGATATTATGGTCTTAAATGAAAAAGAAACTTGACAGGAACCTATAATCTATATCTACCTTATAATCTACAATATACCTATACAAGAGACATCCTCCTATATGACTGCACCTGTGTGCAGGAATCCTGTCCACACCTGCACTTCTATTACCTAAATCAGCTCAGTGAAACAGAATCACGCTCAAAGGTGGTGATACATAAGAATACACAAGGCGAGGATCCCCGTTTCAGGGTGCTGCACACGATCAGATGTGACTGAATCCTCACAGGCTGCATTTCTCAGTTTTTCAGCTGAGTCACAATGTCACCTGTACTGTTACCCTGCCCTTACCTTGTTAGCTCAAAGCACCACGAAGGGGAGTTCTCTTTAAATTTTAAATTGTGGTATAATGAAAGATGTAGGAAAAGTACAACAGAAGCGTGTTTCTCTTGCTAAAGGAAGTTTTACGTATTAATGACAACAGGGAAAGGTCCTCAGTCAGTACTGCAGTAAGCCCATCCCTACCTGTGGGTATGTCAGATTATTCATACCTGGAATAACTGAGTCAAGGCACAATC